CCTAATAATTGCAATAATGAAATAATCAAACTATTCTAATGATTTTCCTAATAATAACGACAATGATAACAAATAATAATAAAAGTAATTATAACACGGCTATTATTGATATTCTTATTTCCAGAATTATCATTATTGTCATTATCATTATTAGAATAATTATAATGATGAAAATGACATTAATAATTAAGACAATTATTATTATAATGACTATATTTAAGGGTATTTAGGGCGATAATGACAGTAATGATAATAATGATGATGATAATGACAATAATGATAATTACCATTATAAAGCCCATCTATAATGAGAAAAAGGCTAAAAGTAAAAAATCCCAAAAGTAGAAAAACCGGCGAAATCTAGCGGAATATAGCCTTGGAGAGATGAGTCGAAAACCCCCCTTTTTACAGTTTAAATGATTATGATGATCTTAGCCATAATTCTGCCTATGATGATTTTGATCATCATCCAATCAATAATGACAATGACGATAATAATGATAACTATGACAATAATTATGATAATAATTATACAATGATAATTATAATGATTTGCCTAATAATTGCAATAATACCAATAATCAACACTATTCTAATGATTTTTTCTTATAATAATAACGACAATGATAACAGAAATAATAATAAAAGTAATTAGAACACGGCTATTATTGTTATTATAATCCTTATTATTGTTATTATTTCCAGAATTATCATTATTGTCATTATCATTATTAAAATACTGCAATAATGATAATGACAATAATGATAATCTATAATGATGATAATTATAAGAATAATGACAATAATGATAATGATAATCATAGAGTCCATTTATAATGAGATGAAGGCTAAAACTAATAAAATCCCAAAAGTCGAAAAAAAACTTCAAAATCTAGCTTATTAGAGCCTTATGAGGGAAGGGTCGAAAAAAAACTTATTCGGTTTTAAATGATAATTATCATGATTTTAACATTACTTCAAGTAATTATGATGATCATGATAACTCATTTATTATTAACAATAATGATAATTATGACAATAATAATAACGATAATGATAATGATAAAATAATTAAAATTATAACTTTGATAATTACTGCAATAATAGTAATAATCAGCTATTCTAACAATTTTCATACTAATAATGACAATAGAAATATACTATTATTGTTATTATAATGAGTATTATTGTCATTATTATTTCTTAAATTATCATTATTGTTATCATTACAAAAATAGTTATAATGATGAAAATGACAGTAATAATTAGCGTAATAATCATCATAACTGCAATAATAATAATATTGATAATCATGACGATAATGGCTATAATGATGATAATCATAAGAATAATGACAATAATGATGATAATAATCATAGAGTCAACTTATAATGAAATAAAGGCTAAAACTAATAAAATCCCATAAGTCCAAAAACGGAAAAATCTAGCGTATTACAGCCTTTTGAGAGAAAGATCCAATAAAACCCTTTCTCGCTTTTAAATGATAATTATGATGATTTTAAAATTAATTCAGATAATTATGATGATTTTCATGATAACTCCTTATTATTAACAATAATGATAATTATGATAATGACAATAATAATGATAATTATGATAATGACAATAATAATAATAATAATAATGAAATGATAATCATAATGATAATTTTGATAATTACTGTAATAATAGCAATAATTAACTCTATTCTAATAATTTTCATACTAATAATGACAATAGAAATAATAATAATATCATTATTATTGTTATTATGATGAGCCTCATTGTCATTATTATTTCTAAAATTATCATTATTGTTATCATTATAAAAATAATTATAATTAAAATGACAGTACTAATTAGCATAATAATCATTATAACTGCAGTAATGATAATGATAATAAAGATAATTATAACGATAATGACTATAATGATGATAATCATAAGAATAATGACAATAATGACGATAATGACAATAATAATCATAGTCAATTTATAATTAGATGAAGGCTAAAACTAATAAAATCCCAGACGTCGAAAAAACGGAAAAATCTAGCGTAGTACAGCCTTTTGAGAGAAAGGTCAAAAAGACCCTTTTTTGCTTTTAAATGATAATTATGATGATTTTAACATTATCATTATTATTATCGTCATGATTATCATTATTATCATTATCATTATTGCAGTTATAATGATTATTATGCTAATTATTACTGTCATTTTCATCATTATAACTATTTTTATAATGATAATATCAATAATGATTTCAGAAATAATAATGACAATAATACTCATTATAATAATAATAATATTATTATTTCTAATGTCAGTATTAGTATGATAATTATTAGAATAGAGTTTAATTATTGCTATTATTGCAGTAATTATCAAAATTATCATTATAATTATCATTTTATTATTATATCATTATTATTTCATTATCATATAATTTTCATTATTGTTAATGATAAAGGAATTATCATGAAAATCCTCATAATTACCTGAAATTATGTTTAAAGTCATCATAAATATCATTTTAAAGCGAAAAAAAGGGTTCTTTTTTACCTTTCTCTATGAAGGCTGCAATACGCTAAATTTTGCCGTTTTTTCGACTTTTGGGATTTTATAAGTTTTAGCCTTTATTTCATAATAAATTGACTGTATGATTATTATTATCATTATCATCATTTATCATTATTCTTATGGTTATCATCATTATAGTCATTATCGTCATGATTATCATTATTATCATTATTGAAATTATAATAATTATTATGCTAATTATTACTGTCATTTTCATCATTACAACTATTTTTATAATGATAATAACAATAATGATAATTTTAGAAATAATAATGACAATAATGCTTATTATAATAACAATAATAATGATATTATCATTTCTATTGTCATTATTAGTATACAAAATATTAGAGATGATTATTGTTATTATTGCATTAATTATCAAAACTATAATTATAATTATAATTTATTATTATTATTATTATTGTCATTATCATCATAGTTATCATCATTATTGTTAATAATAAAGGAATTATGAAAATCATCATAATTACCTGAATTAATGCTAAAATCATCATTATTATCATTTAAAGGTGAAAAAGGGGTTTTCCGACGTTTCTCTCAAAGGGTTGTAATACGCTAGAGATTCCCGTTTTTTCGACTTTTGGGATTTTATTGGTTTTAGCCCTTATATAATTATAATTGGACTCTATGATTATTCTTATGATTATCATTATTGTAATTATTCTAATGATTATCATTATTATAGTCATTATTGTCATGATTATCATTATCATCATTATCATTATTGCAGTTATAATGATTATTATGCAAATTATTACTGTCATTTTCATTACAACTATTTTTATAATGATAACAATAATGATAATTTTAGAAATAATATTGACTCATTATAATCACAATAATAATGATATTATTATTATCTATATTGTCATTATTAGTATGAAAATTATTAGAATAGAGTTAATTATTTCTATTATTGGAGAAATTATCAAAATTATCATTATAATTATCATTTTTATTATGATTATCATTATTATTATTGTCATTATCATCATAATTATCATTATTGTTAATAATAAAGGAATTATGAAAATCATCATAATTACCTGAATTAAATTTAAAATCATCATAATTATCATTTAAAAGGGAGAAAAGATTATTTTTGGAGCTTTCTCTCAAAAGGCTGTAATACGCTAGATTTTTCCGTTTTTTTCGACTTCTGGGACTTTATTAGTTTTTACCTTTATTTCTTTATAAATGGACTCTATTATCATTATTATCATTATTGTCATTATTCTTATGATTATCATCATTAGAGTAATTATTGTCATGATTATCATTATCATTATCATTATTGCAGTTATAATGATTTTATGCTCATTATTACTGTCATTTTCATCATTAGAGCTATTTTTATAATAACAAAGATAATTTTAGAAATAATATTGACAATGTTAAATGCAGTATGTTGGTACAGTCTTAATTCAAGGGTATCAGAATAACTTCTGTGTAGTTCCACATTTATTTTCTTTACAGCCTAGTCACAAGAAGCATTCGAACTGAAAACAACAAGCCCGTATAAGAAACCAATAACGCACAATAGAAATGAACATGAATTTGAATATAAAACAAAACAAAATACAGGAGATGCAAAATCTATATAAGAAGAGCATCAGCACATTGCGAAATATGGAAATCAGAATTTCACAAACATTATCCTATTATTGAAAGAAATAAAATCTTCACAAGGCATTCCCATTTAAAGCAAAACATCAGAAAATAAAAGGGGTTGGCTGTGGAACAACTGCCATTGAACATGTCACAAAACACTACCGTTGGGGGGGCCGCGGCGCTGAACAACAAAGTGTAATAACCTTAAATATACACACTGTTAACACTCACTTTGTATCCCAATAAAGACTGCAAACCAACTTCTTCATAAAATCCACTCCACGGTCGTTGTCACTCAAAATAAAAGGATGGAAAAAGGCATTTGGCCCACCCAGTACAGACAGCAGTTCCCTTGGTTTATCTTTTGGCGGGAAACTGCAAGAGTTGACGCAGCGATATCGCACGCAAAGGAGTATGGGTAGTGGCGCGCGGTTTGAACGACTTTCCTTGGATACTTACCAACTAAATCAGATTTTCTTTCGTTTTAAGAAATCAAATAGTTAAAATTTCGCAGTATTCTACACCGCCCCCTATTAAGTGACCTACTTGATACTACAAAAAAATACTGCAAAATCTTTTTAATCCAACATTTCCGATAAGGGCAGCGTTCGGCGTTCACCCTAGTTTTCAGTATTGATCTCACTTTCTAAGAGAAGGCACATCTTGCTAATAGGCCGGATATATTCTCCACTGACAGTTTTCAGTTTAGCACTGCGCACATGTCCATCACTATCACACATTACCTCTATCACTCGAGCAAGAGGCCATGTACCTCTGGGCAGCCTCTCATCCAAGGCTAAAACTATGTCTCCTTTCTTGACATCACGCCGTTTAATGTTCCACTTTTGGCGCTCTTGGAGGAGAGGTAGATACTCTTTAGACCACCTCTTCCAAAAGAGGTCAGCCAAGTACTGCACCTGCTTCCAGCGCCGACGAGCATACAGATTCTTGTTATCGGTATTCATGACTGGACCAGGTGAACCCTTCAAGTTCAGCAGCATGCTCGGAGTCAGTGGTTGCAGGCAATCAGGGTCGTCCGTAACTCTGGTCAAGGGTCTGCCGTTAATGATGGCTTCAACTTCGCAGAACAGAGTGTGAAGACTATCATCAGTTAGTGTCTGTTGATAGCAAATACCACTCAAAACACGCCTGATAGAGCGAATCTGACGTTCCCAGACTCCACCGAAATGTGAAGCATGTGGTGGATTGAAGCACCATGAGATGCCTCTAGTTGACATGGTGTCACAGATGGCAGTTTGATCAAGAAGCTGGAGCTCCTGACGAAGAACTTTCTCTGCACCCACCAGGTTTGTGCCATTGTCGGATCTGATGGACTTCACTGGACCTCGTCTTGCTGTAAATCGTCGAAGAGCGTTGATAAATGAGTCCGTTTCCATTGAGTCCATGACCTCAATATGGACTGCACGTGATGTTAGGCATGTAAAGACTATGCCATATCTCTTAAGGTTTGACCTGCCTTTCCTGACGAGAAAGGGTCCAAAACAGTCGGTGCCTGTGTGTGTAAATGGTGGCTGGCCTGGTATAATACGATCTTCAGGAAGGTCAGCCATTTCTTGAGTCATTGGTCGTGCACAGATGGCCCTGCACTTCATGCAACTCCTTACCACAGAACGTGCAACAGCATTTGCATGTACAACCCAAAATTTTTGTCTTAACTCAGAGAGAAGATAGTTCTGACCACAGTGAGCTAACTTCTCGTGATGCCACCTCACCATCAGCTTCACCAAAGATGACTTATTGGGTAGGATAATTGGATGAGTGGCATTGAAGTGACGCCCAGAGTGTCTTAGCCGCCCACCTACTCTAAGCAAGCCATCTTGTAGAAAAGGTCTTAATCTCACTATCTTGCTTGAGGCTTGTACTCTCCCATCTGGCTTTCGTGACAGAGAGACAATTTCAGATGAGTAGTTCTCTTGTTGAACTAATTTCCATATGTGTGTTTCTGCATCTGTTATTTCTTTGCTACTAAGGCAATTAACGTCAGGCAACTTGGGTACATACTTTCGCTTCAAGAATCGTCTGACCCATGCATGACAACGCACAAACTTCTGCCAGTTCGAGAAACGAGAGGCAAACTCCTCAATGAATGACATTACTGTTGTCACTGTCTCACATACCATGACAGACACCTTTACTTCTACATCATCTTCCAGTGATCCATGTTTAACATCTTCTGGAACTTGTGGCCAGCTGGATTCAGGTTCATGAAGAAATCTTGGTCCTCTAATCCACATTTCAGACGTTAAAAAAGTATCAACATCAAGACCTCTAGATGCAAGGTCAGCAGGATTACTCTTTGTGTCTACATATCTCCAAGCACTTGCTGAAGACAGTTCTCGGATTAGGTTCACTCGATTTGCGACAAAGGTGTGGTAACGAGCCTTCTGATTGAACAAGTACTTGAGCACTGAAGTGCTGTCTGTCCAAAAGACTGAATCTTCCAATTTCAACCCCAGTTCCTTTCGTAATTTACAGTCCATTCGAGCTGCAACGGTGGCAGCCGTCAGTTCTAGTCTTGGAATAGTTGTCGGTTTCAGAGGTGCAACTCTTGCTCGTGCCATAACCAAAGTGCAGTATACCCTTTCCGAGGCATTTACCATCTTCAAGTAGGAGGCTGTGCCATAACCAGACTGACTTGCATCTGCAAAATGATGGAGCTGATAAGAAATGACGGAACCAAAGGAAATGGGCACTAGGCTTCGTGGCAGCTTAAATCTTGACAATTTTGGTAACTGTTCCAACCATTTTCTCCAACGAGCAGCTTCCTTATCACCCATATTTTCATCCCAGCCTAACTGCATCTGACACATGTCTTGAAGAATCATTTTTGCTGGCAGTGTCAAGGGCGCCACCATGCCAAGTGGGTCATATATAGATGCTACGATAGATAAAACTCCTCGGCGTGTTAGTGGCTTGTCGCCAAGGCAGATTTTGAATGTGAAGCAATCTTCGGCCATCGACCAGTGTACACCCAAGGTCCTTTCAACTGGGAGATCATCCTTACTGAGGTCTAGAGAAGCAACCGACGCATCCCTCTCCGATTCAGGAATCTTCTTGAGCACGTCCTTGTTATTGGCTGTCCATTGGTTCAGACGCCAACCACCTGCATTACAGAGAGCAATGAGATCTTTGATGATTTTTATCAGTCTCTCTTTGTCATCATGGGCCAGCAGGAGATTATCAACATAAAAACTTTGTATTATGGCAGTGACAGCTTGTTCATCAAAAACCTCACCGTGGTCCTCAGCAGTCTTCCTTAAGGCATAATTTACAGCTAGGAGAGGATCTAGCACCAAAAACATGAACATTCATTCGGTAATCACTTACAGGCTTTGATATCACCATCTGACCACCATAAAAAACGGAACACATCACGATCCTCTAGGGGAACCTTGACCTGATAAAACATCTCCTCGATGTCCGCTGTGACTGCATAGTGACCATGCCTGAACCGCATGAGTACCCCTATTAGAGGATTTGTGAGGTCTGGCCCTTGAAGAAGATGGTCATTTAGGGAAGTGCCATTGAATTTAGCTTTAAGGTCATAGACGACACGTACCTTCAGCTTAGTGGGATGACGCACAGCATGATGTGGCATGTACCATATTCTACATCATTTCGTTCTAATCCTGATGGAGGTACTATTTCAGCATACTGTTTACTTATATTCTTTTCCATTTGAGTGATGTATGTCTCCTTGAAAGTCTTGTCAGATTCCAGCTTCCTTTTGAGGCTTTTCATTCTACGTACAGCCATTTCACGATTGTTTGGAAGTGGACTACTGTCCCTGAAGGGGAGTTTGACTACATATTTACCCGATTCTTGATGGATGGACTGTGAGATCTTATCGGAAAATAACTTATCTTCCAGCGAATCTTCACGTTGGGAATGAACTTCCTTTTCCCAAAAGTCAGCATTGAAGTGCTCTCGTAAGCACTCGCCAAGATCTTGTGTTGGGGAAATATGATATACCGGGGCAGTCAAAGGGTTCCTGGGGCCAGTTGGTCCAAAGACAACCCAGCCAAATCTGGTAAGATAGGCTGAGGGTTCGTCATCAGTCCCATGTCTCTGGTCGAGTATGTGACGGTTTCAAAATGCTATTGAGTCCAATTATAAGTTCCACCTCTTGATTGTCGCCAGGCAATCTTTGTAGATCCACATCATTCAGATGAAGCCATTTTTTAGTCCAGTTCACGGGCATCATGCTGTCAGTAGTTATGCTGAGTTTGTCTGTAATGTACACTTCATTTACGGTAATGTTATTTCCACCGCCTATGCTGCTCAACATAAGTGGTACACGCTCGTTGCACATGAATATTCCATTTTCAGTTTTCATTGCTTGCCTCACTGGTAGGCCTTGGATTCCCAAACGTTGTATTAAGCTTCGAGCAGCCAGAGTTGGTGCAGCACCACCATCTATGAAGGCGTAAGTGGAGACGCTGTTATTCACTCGGACAGGCAGGATCTTCATCATAATCCTCCCATCAGGCTCACAATCAAGAATATTAGCACAGGGTAGAGCATCTGTTAATGGAGAATTAACACTTGGGGTCACACTTCCCTTGGCTTCTATGCCACCCCAGTTGAGGAACTAGGTGTACCCAATTTCTCGTAACAGTCAGGTATGTTCTCATTGCTGAACACTCAACACTCCCAGTTGGAGATCTCTTGTACTTACGGGATGGTGCAAAACTCTTTGCTATTGGCCGGTGTAACAGTGTGTGGTGATAGTAGGCACCACATCGATCGCACTGGCTCTTGTCATTACAGAAACGATGGCCATGGCCGGGTTTTAAGCAGCGAAAACATAGCTTGTTGTGTGTGACAATATCCCATCGTTCGTCAACATCTTTCCTGCCGAACTTATAACATGCAAAAAGCTTATGTCCTTGGCCATTACAACAGTGGCATTTATCGCTGGTACTTGGGGTCATATCCATTGCATTCATATCCAGAGCATGGACATTTAGACTATTTACAGGCTTCCGAATGATGATGGGTTTATTGGTCGTGTGACTTGGCTTACCTCTTCCTGCTTCAATATAACGTATTTCCTCTGCTACCCTGGCTTGATCTTTAACAAATTTAACAAGTGCAGAGAATGAACTTGCAGATTTAGTGCCAGGATCTACACATCTCGAGGCCCACTTGGTTCTCAAGTATCTCGGTAGCTTACCAACAATTTTAGATATTGTCTCACGCAACTCCATCCGGCAGATATTATCACCTAAGGCCATCTACATTAAATAGGTAGGAGCCGTATTTCTTTAGACCTTCTGCATCTCCAACTTCAATGTCTTTCCATGCAAATAATTTTGAGATGAAGGACTCGAGGAGTTCACTGGAGTTTTCATATTCTTCTCTCAGCATCCTCCACGCTTCGTCATATCCATGGTCAGGTGGTAGGTGAAGGCAACCTTCAATAAGGTCCTTTGGTGGGCCATCCAACTGGTTGTAGAGCTGTGTGAGCCTTCGCCTTGGATCATTAGTGTTGCTCTCAACATTCCATTCAAATGTCCTACAGAACTGAGTGAATTTCGAAAAATCTCCATCAAAACGTTCTAATTTAACTGGAGGGAGTAATGATATGCGAGCCTGTTCTTGTTGGGTTAAAACTGACTGGTTCATAGCACAAACCATCTGAGCCACTTCATCCATATTCAATGGCCTTGAAGGTGATGGATGGCTGGTGAAATCATGGCCTGAGGTATGGCAGCAAGGTACTCTGTTGATGTTTACAAAAGGAGCAGCTGAAGGATGTAGGTTACTCCTTGTCAATAGGTTCTCATTAGGTTCTGGAATGGTAGTAAGTGGTGTAATGGGGAGCTTACCTGGGCAATATTAGCTCCATTTAGTACAGGATTGACTGGAGTTGACCATTTAGGTAGAGGAGTTTCAGGGACTATGGCGGCATTGACAGCAAAGTGGACTGGCCCTGCAGTCACGTTGACTTCACTTTCACGACTCACTTGTGGGTCCAGATTTCCACTTTTATGATGGGGTTCTACGCTTGTTGCAATCCAGTTGCTACACATGTTGTTAAAGGAGTGAGGGCGAGGGTGTCTCTCATCCTCTCTGCTGTCTCCACAAGAGGAGCCAGGTCTTGACCTGGCTGGTTCTGATGAGGTTTTCATCCTTCTAATTCTCTGTTGCAGCTCAAAGATTCGTCTTTCTTCCTCACGTGCATGTTCATTTTGCTCTTTGATGAACTGAAGCCGTTCTAACTCCTCCTCAGCTACTGATATTTCTGAGCGGGAAGACTTGCAACTGTGTGATGTGCCCACAGATTTATTACTTCTATTGTCACCATGATGTGGGCTTACCTGACAGTTCGCTGTAATGTCGTTCCCTTCTTCGATGGGTAAAATTCGAATTGTTAGATGCAGTATTTGGTACAGTCTTAATTCAAGGGTATCAGAATAACTTCTGTGTAGTTCCACATTTATTTTCGTTACAGCCTAGTCACAAGAAGCATTCGAACTGAAAACAACAAGCCCGTATAAGAAACCAATAACGCACAATAGAAATGAACATGAATTTGAATATAAAACAAACAAAATACAGGAGATGCAAAATCTATATAAGAAGAGCATCAGCACATTGCGAAATATGAAATCAGAATTTGACAAACATTATCCTATTATTGAAAGAAATAAAATCTTCACAAGGCATTCCCATTTAAAGCAAAACATCAGAAAATAAAAGGGGTTGGCTGTGGAACAACTGCCATTGAACATGTCACAAAACACTACCGTTGGGGGGGGCCGCGGCTGAACAACAAAGTATAATAACCTTAAATATACACACTGTTAACACTCACTTTGTATCCCAATAAAGACTGCAAACCAACTTCTTCATAAAATCCACTCCACGGTCGTTGTCACTCAAAATAAAAGGATGGAAAAAGGCATTTGGCCCACCCAGTACAGACAGCAGTTCCTTGGTTTATCTTTTGGCGGGAAACTGCAAGAGTTGACGCAGCGATATCGCACGCAAAGGAGTATGGGTAGTGGCGCGCGGTTTGAACGACTTTCCTTGGATACTTACCAACTAAATCAGATTTTCTTTCGTTTAAGAAATCAAATAGTTAAAATTTCGCAGTATTCTACATATATACATATATATATATTATATATATATATATATATATATATATATATATATATATATATATATATATATATATATATATATATATATATATATATATATATATATATATATATATATATATATATATATATATATATATATATATATATATAATATATATATATATATATATATATATATATATATATATATTATATATATATATATATATATATATATATATATATATATATATATATATATATATATATATATATATATATATATATATATATATATATATATATATATATATATATATATATATATATATATATATATATATATATATATATATATATATATATATATATATATATATATATATATATATATA